CTCCACATCATAAGTTATAGGATGAGAAGAAAAAGTATTGTTCAAACTACTCCCAAGAAGTTTACAAATAAAACACTCTAATTCTTAATGTATCATGTTTAAATTACAGTACTAAACAAATCTCACTTTTACAATTTTTTTCTTCTCTTATACACTGGTAACCACAGGAAGAGTTTTTAATGTCTGAGCTATTATTTTCAAAGGTCACAGAGTAATAATTTTTCTTACTTAGTAATAAAATTGCTTTGGGGGCACCTGGGTGGCTCAGTTAGTTAGGGACCTGACTTTGGCTCAGGTCATGATCTGGGTCCTGGAATCAAGCCCCATGGGCTCTGTGCTTAGCAGGAAGTCTGCTTCTCCCTCTCCCTTCCCCCTGCTCATGCTTTCTCTCTCAAAAAAAGATAAATAGAATATTTTTAAAAAATTTGCTTTGAACAGTTTGGTCATTTTACCACTCTACAGTACTGTGCAAAGGGGTGACTGCCTGGACAGGACAGTAAGGTTGTTTTATTTAATACTGTCAAGATCAAGGGTCTATCAAGAGTATCCAGGTTCCTAACAGACACAGAAAAATCTATCAGGCCAGTTATTAAGGTCTCAAGGGGGAAATGTACTGGACTACGGCAATTTAGCTCTCCTATTGTTTAGTTCCCACGCAGATCTCATCTGTTACTACTCCCAAATTCTACCCATATATCTTCATCTTGAAGATGGGGAAAACAAAATCAAGTTGTCCAACCTTTTCATATAAGGAATGGGGAAAGCAAGGCTTAAGAGATTCAGTGGAATATGTCTACCTACTATGCCACAGTAATCTATGCAGGGCAGCAGAGGAATTAAAACACTGCTAATCTAGTTCTTGTTCCCATATACACAATGCTACCCACTTCTTAAAAAGGTAATTAGTAAGTTTTATTTTGGTTTCATTTTTCAACCATATGGCTAACACAGACCCACTATCAAAGAAAAAATACTCCCATTTTTTCCTGAGCCTCTCATTACTTAAAGATATTTTACAGTCATCTGCATTCAGAGCCTAGAACCGTACTCTAACACTAGTGTAACTTAAGTGATAAGAAATTTTAAAATGTTTATTACAATGTATCCCAAATGGGATTCTGAGATAGAAAACATACATTAGGTACTCTAATGTACAGTCTTCTATATACTATCTTCACAACTTCTCTGTAAAACAAACTATTCTAAAATTTAAAACTTACTTGTTTTAGAAAAGTATTACACATACTTTTTTATAAGTACTTACACTTTTTTTAAAGTAACTTTTTTTTTAAATTAATTTATTTATTTATGATAGTCACACAGAGAGAGAGAGAGAGAGAGAGAGAGAGAGAGAGAGAGGTAGAGACATAGACAGAGGGAGAAGCAGGCTCCATGCACCGGGAGCCTGACGTGGGATTCGATCCTGGGTCTCCAGGATCGCGCCCTGGGCCAAAGGCAGGCGCTAAACCGCTGCGCCACCCAGGGATCCCGAAGTACTTATACTTTTTTATAAGTATAAGACACATGTCTTTTATAAGTGCTAGGACCCTTTTTAAAAAAATTTTATTTGAGACAGAGAATGCGAGCACATGAGCAGGGGGAGGGGCTGAGAGAGAAGCAGACTCCTTCCTGAGCAGGGAGCCCAATGTGGGGTTCAATCCCAGGATCCCAAGGTCATGACCTGAGCCGAAGGCAGAAGATTAATAAACTGAGCCACTCAGGCACCCCTAGCGCTAGGATCTAATTAAATTTTTGAATCAAAGGTACTAAATGTTCTATTCCTTAAAGTAGTGCTTCTTAAAAAAAAAATTAAATTAAAAAATAAAGTAGTGCTTCTTAAGCTATGTCCCATGAGATCCTCTTGACCCCCAGAGGTGACTCTGCCTCTTAGAAAAGGGGATCCTAGCTAGTGGGTCTCTATCCCAGTCCAATTTCCATTCATAAGAAGCATCTAACAGTCTGAAACAAAGATATTGCTAGAAAGAATAGTGTGAAAGTCACTCTCCAGCCTAAAAGGAAGATTCATGATCTGAGGACTATTCCAAACTAACAGTTCCTCATAAAAGAACACTCAAATTCTAATCCTGAATCCATCACTATGTACAATCTTGTATTTCTTTAGGTCAGTTTTCTCATCCGCAAAATAAGAGGACCAAATGGTATGCCAACGTATGTTTCAGCTTACAGTTCCCATTCTAATTTGAACTTTTTCTTTCTTTTTTTTTTTTTAAAGATTTTATTTATTCATGAGACACACAGGGAGAGGCAGAGACACAGGCATAGGGAGAAGCAGGCTCCATGCAGGGAGCCGGATGTGGGACTTGATCCCAGGACTCCAGGATCACGCTCTGAGCCAAAGGCAGATGCTCAACCACTGAGCCACCCAGGCGTCCCATAATCAGAACTTTTTCTACCCAATTTCTCTTCTAGTAAAAGGAAGGGTAAAAGCATATGACTTAGAAAATGCACATTAAAATATAATGCCTTAATAAAGATCAAAAAATAGCTGTCAAAAAAATGTATCTGTCAAGTGTCTGTACTTTCTGGCCTATCAAATAACTTTTACCCAAAATTATTTTGTCTATGTACATTTTTTAAATGACTCTTTTCAGTTTTTTGGGTGTTTTTTTTAGTAATCTCTACACCCAAAACGGTTGGCTCAAGCCCATGACCTTGAGACCAAGAGTCCCATGCTCCTCAGACTGAGCCAGCCAGGCACCCCAAAACACATAATTACATCCAGCTGTCTCATCTCATTTTAAATTTCCAGGTACATCATATTTATTCCACAAATATACAGGTACTATTTCCCTTCCATACCACCAAGAAGCAAATAATATAAAAATACAGCCAACAGAAAGTGCAATTTAAAAAGTCTAGGGAGGGACACCTGAGTGGCTCACCGGTTGAGCGTCTTGCCTTTGGCTCAGGGCATAATCCCGGAGTACTGGGATCGAGTCCCACATCAGGCTCCCTGCATGGAGCCTGCTTCTCTCTCTGCCTGGGACTCTGCTTCTCTCTCTCTCTCTCATAAATAAAATCTTCACAAAAATTAAAATAAAAAGTCCAAAGCTGCTTCTGCACTCATACCCACCTCAGTTCAACAATACTGTCAATAATGTAAGGCACATAAAATGAATAAATACTGAAATATACAAGGGCAAGTTTTTAGCAGTAGTTTCAAAATGAAATGCAGTGGTTTAAGAAAACTCAAATCCCTAAATTACATCATTATTAATTAAGCTAATGTTTCAAAGTTCATAGATCTCAAGAGTGAAATGTAACAATTGTGATGCTGAAATATAAACCAGAAAATACAGGTACCCAACGTATAAGCAAATATGCCAATAATCAGCAACATCTTTATAATTTTTATTTGACTTTCTTAAAAATAACTAAAAGTGGTTAACAAAAAGTATCTGCCATTAGTACCTATTATTTGGTCTTTTCAAAATATTTCCACACTTTCTCATATGTATGTTAAGGGAAAACAGTGCAATTCACAACATGAAAACCATCAAATGCACTATTACTAAATGTTCAAGAACCCACAGATACTAAGCACAACTCTTAAAAGATACGGTCCGTTCACAAGCACACTGGACTTCAAATAGCAAGTAAAGTTGTAACAGTAAAATCTCACTTTTTATATAATCTTTGCTTTACTAGTTCTCTGACCTCAAGTATATTTCCCAGCGCTAAAACTGTTAAAGATTTCATCACTTATAATATCTGTAAATAATGAAGATGAGCCTTAAAACATAATTTTTCATTAAAATTTATGTTGAACGTAGTTTGAAGTATTATCTTAAAAGTTCCAATAGCAGGGGCAGCCCCAGTGGCGCCGCGGTTTAGCGCCGCCTGCAGCCCGGGGCGTGATCCTGGAGACCCGGGATCGAGTCCCACGTCGGGCTCCCTGCATGGAGCCTGCTTCTCCCTGTGCCTGTGTCTCTGCCTCTTTCTCTCTGTCTCTCATGATTAAGTAAATAAAATCTCTTAAAAAGAAATTAAAAGTTCCAATAACATACACTTTAACCTTCCATTTTTCAGCACATATACATTCAGAAATTCGTTTTATTATGCAATGATGGCATTTAGTATTAAATCACTGTTCTATAACCTGGTTTCAATAATGATTAGGAAAAAATGAAAGATCACACGTATGTTTATGTAATAAAACTTAACATTTTCATTTAACATTTTTTAAAATGGTCGAGCTTGGAAAATCTCAGCATTAATAATTAACTTAAAAAAAATGATTAACTTCCAAAAAATCTGTGCTCAAAAAAAAAAAAACCACCTCTGTGCTCAACTGGAAAACAAACACTGCAGCCAGCACGAGAGAAGAGTTGAAGAACCCACTTCTTCAATTAGCTTTTCCTTGCTCTAGGTCTTTATTTTACTTGGACTGCAGTTTTGCGTTTATTCTTCTTAAGACTTTATTTAAACTTGTTTAAATGAATAAAGAGACAGTACGTCCTCGGTCAGGTAAGAATGGTCATCGTTTCTCCGTTATTATAAAAAGCGCCAGTCCCTCTCCCTAGTCCTGCCCCCGCCACCCATATAGAGGCCGGTCCAGGAGAACGCCAGCCCCCTCCGCCCAGGACGCCCCCGACCCCGAAACCCTTGGGTACGCGAGGCCGATACCGCCCACCTCGGGCCTCCCCTCCGCGCTCCCCCAGCATCTTCCGCTCGGCCCCTGGATCCGCACCCGCCAGACCCCGCGAGCGCGCCCGCACCGGAGCCACCCCGCCCCCAGCCGCGAGCGCGCGGCCGACGCGCAGACACGACCCACCGCCCCCGACGCCCGCCCCGGGCCCTCGCCGGCGCCCGGCCCGCCCGGACTCTCCCCGCGCCCGGGCTCCGCTCCACAGGAAGCGCGGCGTCCGGCAAGGCACACTCTAGATCCGCCCCATAGTCAGCGCCCGGCCGCCAGCAGCCGGAGGAGCGGCAAAGCCGGGGCGCAGTGGGACAGCAGGCAGCCCAACCTGGGAACCGACCTGTGGAGACCGCCATCTTCTCCTGCAGCCCGACGCAGCCGCACGCACGCACCGCGACGTCAGCGCCACTTCCGGGAGCGCCCCGCCCCGCCCCTCAGCGCGCGGCCCCCGGGCCCCCGGGTTCTACTGTTGGTTCCAAGGAACAGTCAGAGAAGTTCACTGGGACGCCAAGCGGAGTGAGTCACCATAGTGTACCGCGAAAATGCAAAGTGAATATTTTTTCAAAGGCATGTGCGGCGGAGGGGAGGGGGAATTTTTTTTTTTTTGACTTAAAAAAAAAGGCTCGTGCCGTGGGCTGCAATCCCCAATATGGCGACCAGGTGTGCGAGGAGCTTGTGCCTGGAGATGTGCTGTAAGGGAGCTCAGGTTTGCAAAGCCGGAATTTGTTCAACGATGCGTCTCATTGAGAATGTTTTATATTGATTATTGAGATGTTTTGACATATTGAATTAAGAGAAGTATATTACCAAAAGTTCCAGCAACATAGGGCACTGACAATTCTGTGTTGAAAAATGATTCAAAAGGCGTTAGAGAATTTAAGGAGCCCCTTAGAATTAAATGAATTTATTGCGTTCATATTTCACTTTTGAGATATGCGTGATAGTCAAACACTAAAGTCTATATGTAAGCCTGCAGAGGTCTGGAAAAAGTCCAAACTTTGTAGGTAATGAGGAAGCATGTTGTTCAAACAGCAAGGATCTTTACGTCCTTAGCGTCACGGCGTGACTGTGATGGTTCTCAGTACCATCCTCACAAATGTAATCAGTGATATTTGAACCTTTCATCCCCACTTGATAAGAAATACAACCAAACCCGAAAGAAGTTAGACGACTTTCCTAAGAGCGTGAATCTATGAGTAGTTACAGCAGAGCTGGGAGTCGGACGAAATTCTGATTCCCAAGCCAATGCTCTTTTCGTTCCTGGTTGCCCTTATAATGCTGGTCCTGAGAGTCAATGCTGACACTACTAGAGGAGCTCTCAGGAGCCTCAGGTGTTTACTTTTAGTGGTTCTTAGTTCTTTCCATCCCACACACTTATTTTTTTTTAAGATTTTATTTATTTATTCATGAGAGACGCAGACACAGAAAGAGAGGCGGAGACACAGGCAGAGGGAGAAGCAGGCTCCATGCAGGGAGCCCGACGTGGGACTCAATCCCGGGTCTCCAGAATCGCGCCCTGGGCCGAAGGTAGGCGCTGAACCCCTGAGCCACCCGGGGATCCCCAATCCCACACACTCATTTACCCCATCTCTTACATGTGTCTGAAGCTTTGGAAAAAGAAAGGCTCTATTCTTGGGACGCCAGGTGCCTCAGTGGTTGAGTGGCTGCCTTTGCCTCTGGGCATGATCCCTGGTGGGGGGTGGGGATTGAGTCCCACTTCCGCCTCCCTGCAGGGAGCCTGCTTCTCCCTCTGCCTCTGTCTCTGCCTCTCTCTGTGTGTCTCTCATGAATAAATAAATAAATCTTTAAAAAAAATAATAATCTAAGAGGCAGGAAAGGCCAAGGTGAGCATGGATATAGGTCCTCCCATCACCTTCCACCACAGCTTACTTGGCTCATCAGTGTGCAATGAAGAAATGTTGGATTTTGAACCAGAAAGATCTAAGTCTGACCAGCTACTTGGTCAACTTGTGACCTTAAAAAAGGCATTTAATCTCTTTAATCTACAATTTCCCAGCAGTGAAATAGGGGTAATCTTAGGATTTATACATTAAATATAGTGTCTGGCACATCAAATGTGTACAGTAAATGGTTGCCATTATTATGATAATTATACCATAAGAGAAAAGTATTCTTTTTTTACTAGTAGGCAAATAATTTTTATAGGCATTTTGTATTCCTCAGGCTTGCCTGGGAAGAAACTCAAAACCAAATCTCTAGTACCTCTCTAGTAAATGTTTATAGTAATAATGCATGTTCTGACATCAACCTTCAAATCAGTTTGTTTTTTTATTTCTCCCTCATCATACTTTACACTTATTTGGCTCATTATTGGTGGTATTTAATATATCTCTGTAAGTCACCACAAAGTAACTTCATTTTTTTTTAGAAAGGACTGTATTAATAAATGATAAATCAGCTATTTATAAGTTTTCATTTCTGTATAACCACTGGATAACTGGTATATGTCATTTCCTAATCCCTTCTTAAGAAAAAATGCCCTATCATGTGCTCTAGTGGAAGAGACCCTAAGCTGTTGAACAAAAGTGGTCCAGCTGCAATAGTGAAACCAATTCCTGCCAGCTACAGTTAATAACATAATTCAAGGGCATCCATTCTATAGACTGACTAGCAGTCTATGTGAAGGTCTGTCACAACAAACACCTTTGTCAAACGTGAATCCATCAGTTTCTCTCTCTCTCTCTCTCTCCCTCTCCCTCTCTCTCTCTCCCTCTCTCTCTCCCTCTCCCTCCCCCCCTTATCTGTCCAGAAAAATACAGATGGAAGCAAAAAGACAAGAATGACACACAAGAAGATGCATAGACACAAAAAAGTCACGGAATCCCTTCAATGGCAATTTGAAGACCTTAAGGTAACCAGGTCCTTAGATCCATGTTGGCTCCTTCTAGTTGCCAAAATAACTTTTCCTCTTCCAACAGAAGTGCAACTCCCATGAAGTTTCTGCCTCCCTCTTTTTCACTAGTGTTTGTGGTGGGAGTCTAAGGCACCCCATGATCCCACCTTCTGGTGTTCATGTCCTAGGATGATCACCTCCCCTGAGTGTGAATAGGACCAGTGGCTTGTCTCTTTTTCTTTTCCAGCTTTATTGAGGTGGTATTGACAAATTAAAAATGTGTATATTTAACATATACAATGTGATGTTTTGATATATTTATACATTGTGAAATGATTCACAAGCTATATATATCACTCAATTACCAATTTTTTATGTGTGATGAGAATACTTAAGGTTCACTTTCTTAGGGTGCCTGGGTGGCTCAGTCTGTTAAGTGTCTGCCTTCAGCTCACATCATGATCCCAGAGTCCTGGGATCCAGTCCTGCATCTGGCTCCCTGCTCGGTGGGGAGTCTGCTTCTTCCCCTTCCTTTGCCCCTCCTCCTGTTCATGCTCTTTCTTTCTCTCTCTCTCTCTCTCTCTCTCTCTCAAATAAATAAATAAATAAAATCTTTTTTAAAAATTTGCTCTTTTAATGTGGTCTATATATACAATGGAATATTATTCAGCCATTAGAAACGACGAATACCCACCATTTGCTTTGACGTGGATGGAACTGGAGGGTATTATGCTGAGTGAAATAAGTCAATCGCAGAAGGACAAACATTATATGTTCTCATTCATTTGGGGAATATAAATAATAGTGAAAGGGAATATAAGGGAAGGGAGAAGAAATGTGTGGGAAATATCAGAAAGGGAGACAGAGCATAAAGACTCCTAACTCTGGGAAATGAACTAGGGGTGGTGGAGGGGGAGGAGGGCGGGGGGTGGGGGTGAATGGGTGACGGGCACTGAGGGGGACACTTGACGGGATGAGCACTGGGTGTTATTCTGTATGTTGGTAAACTGAACACCAATAAAAAATTAATTTATTTAAAAAAAAACTGGAGGGTATTATGCTGAGTGAAATAAGTCAATCGCAGAAGGACAAACAGTGTATGTTCTCATTCATTTGGGGAATATAAATAATAGTGAAAGGGAATAGAGGGGAAGAGGAGAAGAAATGGGTAGGAAATATCAGAAAGGGGGGCAGAACATAAAGACTCCTAACTCTGGGAAACGAACTAGGGGTGGTGGAAGGGGAGGAGGGTGGGGGGTGGGGGTGAATGGGCGATGGGTACTGAGGGGGGCACTTGACGGGATGAGCACTGGGTGTTATTCTGTATGTTGGTAAATTGAACACCAATAAAAAATTAATTTATTAAAAAAAGGACAAACATATGGTATCATTCATATGGGGAATATAAAAAATAGAGAAAGGGATTATAGGGGAAAAGAGAAAATGAGTGGGAAATATCAGAGAGGGTGACAAAACATGAGAGACCCCTAAATCTGGGTAACGAACAAGGGGTAGTGGAAGGGGAGGTGGGCGGGGGGATGGCATGACTGGGTGACAGGATGAGGGTGAGGAGGCACTTGACAGGATGAGCACTGGGTTGTTATATGTTGGCAAATTGAACTCCAATAAAATATACAAAAAATTTTGCTCTTTTAGCAAATTTCAAGTATGTAATATATTATTATTAACTATAGCCTCCATGCTCTAAATTAGATCTCCAGAACTTATTTATCCTATTACTGAAAATTTGTAACTTAATGAATATCTCCCCCATTCCCCTTACATCCCAGCCCCCTGGCAATCACCATTTACTCTCTGTTACTTTTTTTTTTTCTTGTAAGATTCCACATATAATTGACCATACAAAATGTTTTTCTGTGTCTAGTTTATTTCACTTAACATAATGTCCTCCAGGTTCATCAATAGCATTCACAAATAGGATTTCCTTCTTTTTAAAAAAAGGATAAATATTCCATTGTAGGTATGCACATCTCATTTCCTTTATTTGTCACAAAACACTTAGATTGGGGCAGCCCCGGTGGCGCAGCAGTGGTTTGGCAGCAGCGGTTTGGCGCCGCCTGCAGCCTGGGGTGTGATCCTGGGGACCTGGGAGTCCCGCCTCGGGCTCCCTGCATGGAGCCTGCTTCTCCCTCTGCCTCTCTCTCTGTCTCTATGAATAAATAAATAAAATCTTAAAAAAAAAATACTTAGATTGTTTACATGTATTGGCTACTGGGAATAATGCTTCAGTGAACATGTGGAAGTGCAGCTATCTCTTCAAGATGGTGACTTTATTTCCTTCGGATATATACCCAGAAGTGGGATTGCTGGATCATATGGTAGTTTTATTATTAATTTTTTTAGCAACCTCCATATTATTTTCCATAGTGTCTGTATTGGAACTTTGTCTTTAATCATTAGAGAATATGGTGAACTGATGGAATGTCACCTGTGCAATTATGATACCTACTATTGTAAAGATCATCTTACAAGGAAGCTTTTTCCTTTGCTGGTTTTTAAGAGATAAAGCTGCCATGTTGCAGGCTTCACTTTGGAAACTGCCCTGTGTCAAAAAACAGCAGCCTCTGGCTTACAGCCATCAAAAAACTGAAGCCCTCAGTCTGATGGTATGCAAGAAACCTGAGCCTGAAAGCAGCTCCCTCCCCAATCAAGCCCTAAAAAGAGACCACAGACCTGAACTGACAAGTAGATTAAAGCCCTGCAGAGGATCCAGTTGAGCCATGCCCCAGACTCCTGACTCACAGATGTTGTTGGAAAAATAAATGTGTGTGGTGGCTCCTTGGTGGCTCAGTTGGTGAAGTATCCTGCTTTTGGCTCCAGTCAAGATCCTGGGACTCTCTGCTCAGTCCCTCTGTGCTCCCCCACCCCATGCTTTCTCACTTTCTTTCAAATTAATTACTTAACTAATTAATTAATTTAAAAAATAAATATGTGTTCTTTAAGCTACCAAGTTGGTGATAATTGGTTATACAGCAATAAAAACTAATACCGTATCCTTATATAAAGTCACTATGACTTGACAAATAAGGGAGGTTTTTTGTTTTTTGTTTTTTGTTTTTGTCAACAAAACCTGACATAATAACCTGAGTAGAATTTCTTATCACCTTGGGGGAAAAAAACCCTAGTATCATCAAATTATTAAACACACTCTCCCCAAGCTTTTCCTCAATTCCTACTGACCTCAACATTATATTGCATACCTAGATTGCAACAGCCTGTCAGCTGAACTATCTGAAATATCCTAATGTTTCTTAAACATTGCCTCTATTCTTTCCTTTCTAATTGAGAAAACCTACACTTCTTCCCTTTTGCCTACCACTGGGTTTGCAATGAGTTTCATATTTATTGTCAATACTAATCAATTCATAATGGGTACCTGAAGAGCTATTTGGAGAATTCTAAGGTTATATTCATGCTCAGCAGAAAAAGAAGTGCTGTCATCAAACATCACAGTCTGCTGTAGGGAATTACAGCAAACACTGTCCACTTAACCTGGCCAAGGATATGAGGCCCAAATGCCACTGCCTGGCCTTCACAACCTTCCAGAATCCAGCCTCCACTGACCTCTCCTGTATTATTTCTCGTCACTCTCCAATGGATATCTCACACTTTACTAAAGCTATCTCTCATGTATACCATTGCTATTGCTATTGCTATGTGCTATTTACCACTTTCATGCTTATATCTCTTCCTTAGATTTCCCCCCTCCTTTACCTTTAAATTTCCTGTCTTTCCTTCAGGCCAAATTCAAATTCTACTTTCCTGAATCCTTTCCTGATTAATTGTTCTTATCTGTTCATTAAACTGCTCTACCTCTTTTAGTCTGTACCAAGGAGATAGTACAGGAAAATGCAGACATGTTCTATCTGCAACATAAAAATTAGATCCATTTGAAACCAGTTAAACTTGTCATCCAGGAAGTTGTGAGGTCTCAAAAACCAGTGCACTCACGGATTTTATCACAAATGGGAAGCTCAGTACCTGTGATTGAAATACTCTTATGCAAAAAAAAAAAAAAAAGAAAAAAAAAAAGAAATACTCTTATGCACTATACACTCACAAAACGTCATTATTCATTCTGGAATATTTCTGTCTTCTCAGAATTTTAATTCTGCCTTCTCTGTTGCCCTTTTGTAGCTGGTTTTTTTTCTCTTTTGGGGGACAAATTTCAATCATTTAAAGTCTGCTTCGAAGCTTACCTTTCTCCAGTATTGTTGTCTTTTCCCTGATTAAAAGCCTTCCAATATTGAAATGCTGTTCAATAACAGAATCTGGTGGTTAATTTCCAGTGCTCACTCTACCTGACCTGCACACAGATGGTGGTATAATTGACCATTATGTTATCTGAGGACCAATTTTTTTCATTTGGCTTCAAACTCCCCACACTTTTCTGGTATTTTAAGGGTATTTGGGGTTCATTTTAATCAGGTATGGTAAGACACATAGATAAATTACTGTCATGAGGAAAGAAATTTGTTATTGTCAAAGTTACCTAGAAAAAGTAGGCAAGGGCATCCCTGTTGTGTTCTTGACCTTAGTGGAAAAGTTCTCAGTTTTTCCCCATTTTTGGTCAAGAAATGGGGAAGACATGAACAGACATTTCTCCGAAAGAAACATACAAATGGCCTGAAAAGATGTTCAGCATCACTCACATCAGGGATATACAAAACCACAAAACTTCACACCAGTTAGAATGGCTAAAATTAACAACTCAGGAAACAACAGATATTGGAGAGGATGTGGAGAAAGGGAAACCCTCTTATACTGTTGTTGGGAATGCAAACTGGTGCAGCCACTTTGGAAAATAGTATGGGGGTTCCTCAAAAAGTTAAAAAATGGAAGACCCAGCAATTGCACTACTAGGTGTTTATCCCAAAGATACAAACATTGTGATTCAAAGGAGCACATACACCTCAATGTGTATAGGAGCAATGTCCACAATAGCCAAACTATGGAAAGGGACCAGATATCCATTGACAGATGAATGGGTAAAGATATGAATGGATAAAGAAGATGTATATACATATATACATTCTATGTATATGTATGTATCCCCCATATCTTCTTTATGTATATATATACATTTTATATATAGTACTCAGCCGTCAAAAAGAATGAAATCTTGCCATTTGTAACAACCTGGATGGAATTAGAGAATACTATGCTAAACAAAATAAGTAAGTCAGAGAAAGACAAATACCATATGAATTTCACTCATATGTGGAATTTAAGAAACAGAAATATAGGGGAAGGGAAGGAAAAATAAGATAAAAACAGAGAGGGAGGCAAACCATAAGAGACTCTTAATTATAGGAAACAAACTGAAGATTGCTAGAGGGGAAGTGCAGGGAGGGGGTAACTGGGTGATGGGCATTAAGGAGGGTACTTGAAGTAATGACCACTGGGTGTTGTATGCAAATGATGAAACACTGAATTCTACCCTAAAACTAATAATACAGTATATGTTAACTAAATTGAATTTATTTATTTTTTTTTTTTACTAAATTGAATTTAAATAAAAAAATAAAAAACAAAAAGTAGGGATCCCTGGGTGGTTCGGTGGTTTAGTGGCTGCCTTTGGCCCGGGGCGTGATCCTGGAGTCCT